GGTCCCGGGTCCGGTGCGGGGGCAACCCTGAGGGTTGGGATCCGTTTGCGGACCCGGAAAAAAAAAAAAAAAAAAAAAAAAAAAAAAAAAAAAAAAAGAAAGAATATTTTGGTCAGGAGAGAGTCTGGGAGATTATAAGAGGTGAAATTAACTGAATGGTACTTGGTAGAAAATAGAGGAAAAGGAAGAAACATGGTGTGAACATGATTCCACCTAAAAGGAAGAAAAACTATGATAGGGGAAAAGATGCCAGATGGAGGCCATAAAATGACTCAGGACAGGTTGGTGCTACCCAGAACCAAGGGAATAATAGCACTGGAGTGTTCGAGTGATCAGGTAGCATGCTATCAGACTTTCAGAGGGGTTTGCAATGCAGAATATGTCTTAAGATACCTAGGGGGTTTCTGCAGAATGTAGAATTTGTACATCGTTATATCCTTCCTATTGATTTTGGTGACATGTGTCCTATTAGACCAGTCATATTTATTCCTAAAGAAGGAACTTCAGGAACCCTTTGTTATAAAAAAGATGTCAAGTGCCATTTGCCAATCTTCTCCCATCCCTCTTCTTTCCCTCTCTTCTTTCTCTAGCTTTTACTGCTTAACCCTGACCCAATCACTTAATTCTCTGGGTCTCATTTTCTCATCTCTAAATGACAACACTGAACTAGATTATCTGTCCCTTCCAATTCTAAAAACTTGATTCTCCAAAATGACATAACATAAACCAGGACAAGAATCTAATTATATTACCCAAATCAGACAGCTGTGGTTTCCAAAGTGGTTATTTCTGAATATCCTTTTTTTTTTTTTTTTTCCTTCTAGGAGAAGGTGACCTCTCTGTTCTCAGAGCTGTTTCGGGGGCGCTGAGATTTATCTAGAAAGACAGCTGTGGGAGATGCAGGGTTTTCTTTCTGTTAAAAAAATAAAAAATAAGAAATCTGTTCACTCCTGTCTCCTTCGACTCAAAAGGCTTTCTGGGTAGCCGCAAGTAGATAAAACCTTATCTTTCCACGCTCGAGTTCCCCTTCTTGGGCTTTACCTGTCTTGACTGGCAGAAGCCCTGGACAAGCATTACCCTCGGAGCTGCAACACCGGAGGAAGCTTCAACAGCTTCCCGTGAGGCGTCGCGCGTGGGCGGAAACGCGGCCGCCACACTTCCGGTGGGCGGGCCTTGCTCGCCACACTTCCTGTTGATCCGGCTCGGCCGGGGGCTGGGCTGGGAGGAGGACCGGCGGGCGGGCGGCGGCGGCGGCACTGGCCAGGCGTGGGCGCACGCAGGGCAGCCGCGGGCACGGAGCGTCCGCCG